CTTATATCTTAGTCATTCACTGACAATTCGGTAACAAGTTGCATCTTTTTATAGGGACAAGAGCTCGCATTTCAAATCAAACTTGAAAATAATACTGCAGGTCTAAAAAATGCGAAACTTTACGGTAGTCCTAAGCTAAAAAGACTTATATTTGGTCATGAAAAGGCTTTGCAACAAGTATGCTTCCTATAGTCCGAATTTTTCGTTAAATATGAATACCGTTGGTATCCTTAAAATTCGCCGGTTTAATTAACAGCGTCTCGAACAATGTGCAAGCTTTTCAGAGTTTTTCGTTGATCTCAAAGATTTACTTGTTAATTACAAAGTTTTACTTGTTGAATAGTTTGGTTTTTCATTAATTCTTATTATTAAAGTCGCACGCTGTTAAATTCTGTTCAGGAACTTTTAATGACTAAAGAGAAGACTGATCCTTCACCGGGTGAAAATTATTATTCTACTTTGATAAATGAGCTTAATTCGATAGGGTGGGACAAACTAGAGGCATTCAATCCCTCTCTAAAAAATTTATCATTGAAGTTGAAGTATGTTACTTGATATGCAAATTTTTCGCAATTTACTAAAAGTTAACGAAAATAATTATTTTGGCGCCAGTGATTCATCTGGTCGTCAACATAGTATCTTTGTGTCTTTACCATTTTCATATCCTCAAACTCCCCTCATCGTACATGCTGAGCTTCCAACTTCTTCGTCCACAACATCAAACCATATGACAAGTCTTAAAGATGTCGTGTCATTCTACTCTAAAGTGAGTCTAGATAAACTCGTGATTTAAATCGTCATGCATAAAAACTTAACATTTTTCAGGAATTAGAAAAGTTTCAAGATGTTTGGTCAGTGCTCGATGATATCGACGCACATACTTGGGTTTTGGAACCATGCAAACCTAAACGGAATGACTTGATGCGTAGAATTGCTTTGGGCAATCATTGCTCTATACAAATCGAATTGGACGCTTCTTGTCCAAAAGGAGAATGTCAATATCGATTGTTTGGTACGGAAAGTTTGATCTCTCCAATACGCGAAAAGATAATAAAAAATTGGAATAATTGGTTGTACATATGATACTTATTATGATAGAGTAATTTGAATTTTTAGTCTGATATTTTTCTTCGTTAAGAATAGGAATTTCGACTTAACTATTAGGCAAAACTTTGAGAACATCCTAGAAATAACTTTTCCTTCAGCACAAACTATTTCAACTTCGGATATCAATATCGAATGCGGAATTTGTTATTCATATCGTAATGAAGGTTCTTTACCTGATCAATCTTGTAACAATGCAAAGTGTGGCCAACCTTTTCATCGTTCTTGTCTATACGAAGTATGTGCTCTGATAATTTTTGGATATAAGAGCTCTGGTGTGTGCGAATTTTTCTTATAACAAAACTTTTTAGTGGTTGCGGTCTATTCCAACAACAAAACAAAGTTTCAATACATTGTTCGGGAATTGTCCTTATTGCAATGATGTAAGTGCTATTTTGTTTTTGAATTTCAGGGTGATGCATTGTTTTAAAGTTGTGTTATTCTTATTTTGTGCAGGCTATTACCACTACCATTTGTGATCAGTGAATTCACAACTTGTTAAAGTATGTACGATTTATAATATGTTGTGAACTCCTTGTGCGTATATAACTTGGATTGCTTTAATAAAATTACGAGCATTTTAAAGATTAAATAGTATAAAAAGATGACAAATTCATACAATTCGATTTAGCAGGGAAAGTCTGCAAAAATATTTCAGATATTAATATGGAATGTGAGAGCCTGATGGGCACTACTGCGTATGTATCTGTTTTAGCTAACTATCATGTAAAAGCTCCGGACATTTAAAAATGGCTGTTTTTCTAGTTCTATTGTCTCGGAGTGTAGTAGAGAATCTATAATGAATAATCCAGTAAAAAAAAACACTTTTTACAAAGAAATTTTGCAACTATTGTAATCATTATTAAATCTATGATTATTTTATATAAATTGTTTCTATTAACCAATTTTGATAAAACTAATTCCAAAAAACTAACCAATTTTTATTATTTTTGCTCGAGAATCAATTGAATTTTCAATATTTATTAAACCTTTTCTTATTAGCAAGTTTTCTAATTTATTTGATTGATGCATGTTAATTATAATATTATATCTATCAATAAATTCTTTTTTAATATAAACTTATAGAATAGTTGGTTATTTACTAATAATAAACAATAAAAAGGTAGTACTTAAATGATAAGTTAATATAAGAAATTAAATTATTTGGACATATAAGTATAAGGGTGTGGTGGCTTAGTGAAGTGGTCTAGTCATTACCCCACCAAGTGATAGGTCTAGAGTTTGAATCTTATAGATGATATTTTTTGAAAAATAAATCTGTATTAGGTAACAATTATCTACTGATTGGTTAAATCTAGTGCTTGGCACAATCAAACAAAAATTTGACAGTCAAATACTTGTTAATACTTATATTTAAATTGAATATTAAACAATTGCAGATTAATCAAAGCTAAATATATACTATTGGTTAATCTGCAATTATTTGATATCTGACTTAATTACAAGTATTAACAAGTATTTAACTGTCAAATTTTTGTTTGATTGTGCTGAGCACTAGTTAGATTTACAATTTGTAATCTTGATTATACCATCTTGTTATAAAAGCTTTGGTACAAAAATATCAAGAAACTAAAATAATTAAAACTTATTTGGAAAAACCCGAGTAAGGAGGTAGTGGATACTTTCGACAGTGCTACAGGAAAGCTGAATTTGAAAGTAATGACCAAGATTAA